GATCAACGTGAAAGGTACACATCGAGTGGCTGCCACCCGCACGACCAACCAGGGCCGGGGACAAACTGCAACCGAGGTACGCGCCCTTAGTGGGTACCGAACCCTGGTCTCTTTGGACCGCAGGCCGACGTTCTAACCACTGAGCCAAACCGGCCAGGGCACAATCAAAAATTTTTTTAAAGTTAAAAAAAAAAAGACTGAGTTCCTGGACCCCTCCAGTTTCTCCCATTATCAGCCTGCCCCTGGTGTGGGGAGCCTTCACTGAACTGTGACCTCCAAGGCCTTCTGCCTAGCTTTCCTGTAGGTCCCAAATGGTTCCATTTCCTCCCAGTCCATTGAAAGACTTACTCTCTTTCCCACACATCTCAGTCTGTGAGGTGCATGCTGGAGCCTATGGTTTCCTTCCACACAGCACATAAACACACTTACGCCTCTTCCCATTAAAGCAACTGTTAGACTCAATCTGGAGGTGAGAGCCAGATAGTTCAAAAGCTCCACAGGTGATTCTAGTGTGCATCCAGGGCTGAGAAAGATAAACAAAAGTCAAACTGTGGCATACAGGTTTCTTCATAAACTGACTTCTGCTAAGCCTTCCTGCCCTCACCCCCACGCCCTCTGAGCTGGAGCCACACCGGACTACTTAGAGCTTCCCAACCCGCCACATCTCCAGCTTCTGTGCCTTCACACATGCTCCCTCTGCCTGCAACGCCTTCCCCTGCCTTCTGTAAAGTATCCTTTAATGCTCAGCCTAGGTGTCATTTCTGTGAAGCCTTCGAGAACTAACCCCCACCTTGGGGTACAGTGCCCCCCACCCCCGCTTTCATAACCCTCTGGACTTATCTCTATGGGAATACTCAACACATGCTAACTACTCGAATTGTTCATTTATGTGTCTGTCTTCTCCACTAGACTGTGAGTGTTTTAGAGGAGCCCCACAGCCATGGGGATGCCATTTGGTAGGATTTGGGGTAAGTGATCTCTAGCAGATATTTGAAGATGCTTTTTCCCAGGACTAGGACAGGAACTGAACAAAGTGAATCTTTGGGCATGTTCATTCATGTACTCAATCAATACTTATTGATGGCTTGCCATGGTCTTTTGCCAATGTGGTCCAGATGAGTACACGGATAGATGAAGTTCCCCATCACTATGACTGGCTTCTGGGACAGTTTTGTCATCTATAATGGTCTGCTTTGGCCCTGGCCGGTTTGGTTCAGCAGTTAGAGCATCAGCCTTCAGACGAAAGGGTTATGGGTTCAATTCCCTGTCAAGGGCATGTGCTTGGGTTGCAAGTTTGATCCCCAGCCCCGGCTGGGGTCGTGTGGGAGGCAACCAATCGATGTGTCTCTCACATTGATGTTTCCCTCTCTTTCTCTCTCTCCCTCCCTTCCACTCTATCTAAAAATCAATGGAAAAACATCTTCAGGTGAGGATTAACAAAAAATAAATAAAAATACAAATACAAATATAACTGTCTGCTTTGTTCTTCTCTAGTTCATCTCTAGATGGACACTGAATCTGAAACCTCTCAATAGCACTCTCAGAATAGAGTGTACACAGTAAGCAGCATTTAGGAAATATTTGCTAAATGAATGCTCATGAATCTACATACAATGTATACCTTCTTGATATATTACCTCCCACCTTGCCTTTTAAATGTTCAGACAGAAATAGTGCAAAGCATTTCACATGGATTATCTCCTTTAATTTTCACAACAATTCTATGAAAGAGGTACTATTGTCATTTCCATTTTCTAGAAGCTCGGCAGCTTACAGAAGGTCACACAGGTAATAACTGGGAGAGTTAAACTTAGGCCTTTGGAATGAGGTCTGACTCTGAAGACACTATGGCATACCTGGACCACATTAGGCTTTCAATAAATATTTATTGACTCAATGAATACTGCTACTCCAAGGGAAGTAGAAAAACTTTTGAATTCTTACTATCCTCCCCACTTGTCTCTGGGTCCCTCAACCTTCTTCCCTTTCTCACATTGTCTCATTCACTCTAATATTCACTCAACAAACATTATGGAGGGTCAAACGAGCCAGATGATGGACCACATGCTAGAGATAGAGCAGACTAAAACCTAGCCCCTTCTGAGAAGAACTTATGTGCAGGCAGGGATACAGATAATTACATTGCAGAAAAATTATGAGAAAGAGGGGAGGAAATGATTTACTCCTGGGAGAGCTGCTTATATCTTGTGTTGAGCCAGGGGACAAGGCTTGGAGGGGTGGGGGATATGAAAGATGCTGACATCCTTGGGGAATGTTTAAAGCATAGGATGTGACCCAGGAGAATGGCACAGGTAGAAGGGGAGATTGTGGGCCTGATCAGCTATGCCTTAGTGTACAATGCGAGGTTTGAGCCTTTTGAATAGTTGAATTCTGCCATTTCCTGTTAAGGGTAGGTATTAATGGGCTAGGTCATAGGTGTACTTTGGCTATGACCTCTTTCCTCTAAGACTGAACTTCCATATAACTACATCCAACCATTTACAAACATATTATTTCTCCCAAACCACCGTCTCCTCTAAATTCCTTATTCTATCCACATTAACACCATCCAATCCTATTAGCAGTTATTGGATCATTATACGCAAAGTACTATTCCAGGAACTACTGGAGATAAAGATTTCACTTCACTAAAACCTAGTCCTCACCCCCAAGAAGTCTAGTAGATGAACATGTAGAAGAGGGAAAGCTGGAGAGACAACTGACTGGGAAATCTCCAGAGTCTGCCTCTTCATTCTCATCAATTTCCAGACCTCCTTAGGTCAGGCTGTATCTCTCAGTGGTCTTCCTCCCATGCCCTTTTCATACTGCTAGAGTGAAGTGATCAGCTAGATGGTAAACCCCATGCAGGGGCAGCTCTGCCTCATTCACTGATGTGTCACAGGCACGTAATACAGTCTTGCAGATGGTAGGTAGTCAATAAATATGTGATAACACAAGCCTGATTATGTAGCCTCTTCAAAAAATTTCACTGTTTCTCCTCTGCTTCCAGAATACAATCAAACTGCCCTGTTTGGCTTTCAAGACCTACTACATTCAGCCACAGCCAACTTCTCTCACCTTTTTTCCCTTTCACTACCAGGAAGGCCAGTGTAGCCAGCAATTCACTCACTGTTCCTGCCCCAGGCCACGTGTGTGTGTTTAAATAAAAAGCAAATTAAATACTTTATTACAGCTTAGTGTTTTCTTTTTTTTTTTTTGTTAATCCTCACCTGAGAATATTTCTCCATGGGGGGGGGGGGAGAAGGAGAAAGAGAAACATCTATGTGAGAGAGACGCTTTGTGCCTCCAGCATTGTGCCTCCGGCACGACCATGGCGGGGGGCTGGGGATCAAGGCTGGGGATCGAACCTGCAACCCAGGTATGTGCCCTTGACGGGGAATCAAACCCAAGACCCTTTGGTCTGTGGGCTGATGCTCTAACCGCTGAGCAAAACCGGCCAGGGCAGCTTAGTACTTTCTTAAATAAGTACGGAATATTAAACAGGAGACACAGAGCGCACATGTGCGGCGCATGTAACAAGGGTTCACTCGGACGCACGTCTAATACTCAGCACTTCAGACCACACCTCCCCCAACCAGGCATGTATAGGGCAGAGCTGCCGTGCCCCAGCCACTTGTATTTCCCACCTCTATGCCAGGAAATCCTCTCGGTGACTCCTAATGCTAAGGCTCATCCAGATTTATAGGCTCCTGGGAGAGGCTTCCGCGCCCAGTTGCTGCTTCCTGCAGAGACCTCCTTGGCTACTCTGGCCCACCTCTCAGGTCTCACCCTCTCTAGAGGGGGGCTCTTTGAGAGACGGGCTGGCCATGGAACTTTTCCCAGGGCCCTAAGCTGGGTGGGCCTGCCTACCACACACAGAAGATGTGTTGGTCGTGTTGGCGGATTGATCACCAGGACGCCCAGAATGAGCCATTCCGGGGATGAATGTCAGGAAGAAGCAGGGTGCAACTCTGGCGGCCCAGGCCAGGCCGCGCCACCTGACAGCCGCGGGCTGAGAGATGCGGAGGGAAGGGGTGGGGAGTCGGGGCTGGGCGTGCTTCCTGCCCCGGGATCGGGCGGCCCGCCCCTGCTCCCGCCTCGCGGGCCGAGCCCAGTCGAGGCTGGACGGCCCCTCCTGCCTCAGCCGGAGGCCCAATCAGCAGGCGCCCCCCACCCGGCCCGCCCCCTCCCCCTCTGGTGACAGAAAGTCGGCCCAGCAGATGAGGAAGTGGCAGGCAGGCTGGCCCTGGGGACTTCTCTCTAGCCCTGCTGCCTTCAAGCCCTCCACTGCGGCCTGCCTGGCCCCCCACTGGTGAGTCTGAACCTTTCCTGGGCGGGCGCTCCACGTGCCCAAGGCCCCCTGCCTGGCTGGTCCGGCCCAGCCCTGCCCTGCCCTGCCCAGGCTGTGGGCGAGGCTGTTCCTGGGGAGAGTGAGTGGGAGGTCCCAGCTCTCTGGGGTTGGGCCTCTCCAGCAACCTCCCTCCTGTCCATGGACTCTATTTACTAAAACCTAGGCCTTCCTCCACCACCTCCTGGTCTTACCCCTCTTCCCTCTTGTCCCCTCCTTCTCCCCTCCCCTCTTTCCCCTCCTCCCTTCCCCTCCCCCTTCCTCTGCCTGTTCCCTTTTCCCTTCCATCCATCCGAAAGGAAGGAAGGAAAGACTGGACTGAGTTTCCCCACCCGGGACACACCCAGATTCTTCTCAAGCTTGGAGAGAGGTCCTTTCCAGAAGCCTTGAGCCACTCCTGACCTCCAGGGTGCATGCAAGTGTGGTGGTTGAGAGAGATAACAAGCTGGCAAACTCACGTGGGTCAGGAAGGAACTGTGTTAGAGCACATTCTACACCTCCCGGGTAGGCCCTGCCACAGAATAGACAACCAACAAAATATGATTGTGAATGAATGAACGAATGAATGAATGAATGATTATTGTCATCTGTGAAGAGATCTGTGTGCTTGACTGAGGGCAGGTATGTAGTGGGTGATTTTATATTCATTCCCTGCTAAGTGGGCCTTATGAGTTTATGTATGTGACCACATTTATCTGTGACTCACACATGTGTGAGCATAAGCATTTGCTTTTGGTAATGCTGGACTATGAAGGAGGATGTGTGAGTGTTTTGGGTGTGTTCACTAGTGAGGATGTGTGAATGTAGTTTGGAGCAGGTCTGAGTATTAGAAACTGTGCATGTCAGTGTCCATGGAGGCTTGTTTGGGTGGTGTGTCAGAGGAAGGCAGTTGTTGCCAGCAGGAGGAGTTGTGGGCTCTGTGTATGCACATCTGTGCTAGCCATTGGTGAGTTGGTCATTGGGTGGTTCTGGTGAGAGCTGTGTGAGAGGCAGGTGTGTGTGAGATGGTGTTTGTACGGGAGGACTTGGGCCTGACCATGGTTGGGCAGTTGGGGGTTGACATGGAGGTTGAGGAAGCATCTGTGAGATGTGTGCCCAGTGAATGTGGGAGCGTGTGCAGCCTCGGTGGATGTGTCAGAAGGTGTGTTCTTCACTTAGTACCTGCACAGGTTGCTCTCTGGATAGAAGGAACTCGGTGGTCTGGAGTGCTAGCTCTCAGTGCATCTGCTGCCCGGGCTCTTCAGGGACTGCCTCAGAATCCCTGGCCCCCCTGGGTCTGGCTTTTGTGTCCTGCTGCGCCCTCCTCCCTCCCCCGTCATTCCTTCAGGCCTTGAGGGGTGAGGGCCTAGATCATTAGACTCCTCCCTGAAGGAGGGGAAGATTCCTGAGACCTCCCCCACTCTCCCACCTCCTCACATGCCACTGGCTTCCCTGCCCCTCCCTGGGAGAGAATGGTGATTGTGCCCATACTGAAGTAGGACAAACTGAGAGTTTATGGCTGGCTTAGCAGATGCTGGGTGTGGGTTTCCTGAGGTTCTCTTTGGGCCAAGGTTTGGGCTGGGGCTGGACCCCCAGCAGGTTTGTGGTTCAAAACCAAGAACCTTAGACCATCTGGTTGCTCTAGGATGGGTGGGTGGGTGGTGAGTCCCAGCTTTACTTGGCTTTCTCAATCTTCGTGGGTCCTGCTCCTCCAGGCACTGACCTGTGGCCTGGACCCACCCTCCACCCCATGTGCAGTGCAGCAGGGGTGGGCGGAGGGCGGGGCTGCTGCCAGATCTAGTCAGACAGGTGGAGCTGCCAGGGCAGGAGTCTCAAAGAGCCAGGCTCCCAGAGAGGAAGGGCAAGAGGAGAGCACCAGAGAGGAGCCGAGAGGCTGGAGGTGAGAGCTCAGGAGGGCAGAGGAGAGCCCTAGGGAGTGTCCCAGCAGGGGAGAGGAGGAAGGGGCAGGAGGGATTGGAAGCGAGCATCCCAGAAGGGACCAAGGGACCATGGGGAAGGGACAGGATGGGCAGAATGGCAGGAGGGGCTGGGAAGTGGGAGTCCTGGCAGGGGAGAAGATCAACCCTGGGAAGAGAGAGGAGAGTCCTGGAAAAGACAGGAGGGATTGCTAGTGAGAGTCCTGGAAGGGACGGTTCCAGGAGATGAGCATCCTGAAATAAGCCAGGAGAGGTCGAAGGGGAGGATCCCTGGAGAGAAGAAAGACCGGAGCTGGAGAGGTGAGAGACTTTGGTGAGGAAGGGAGAGGCAGTTTATTATGGAGATGAATTCCCTGTTAGGGAGAGGTAAGACTTTCTAGAAAGAGAGAGAAATTGAGAGTTTTCTTGTGGAGGAAGAGGAGAGGGGAGGTCACGAAGTAAAAATCTCCAGAGAAGAGCAGAGAGTGAAGATAGAGGAGGAAGGTGTGGGGTGGAAGGGCGGAACAGCCTTTCCCAGGCAGGCAGGATGTGTGGGAAGCAGATGCCCCCGCCAAACTGCCTCCTCCTACCCCTAGTCCCCAGCAATTCCTTCCTCTCACTGTTATATCCTTTTTGCAATGAGAGGTTGCAAAAAGTTGTCTAGTCTGGTCTGTGTGCTGTCTGTGGGTCAGGGATGAGATGGGTGGACAGTCATCCCTGGCTGACACCCGCCTTCCATACCTCCCCAGAGTCATTAGCCAGGATGGAGGCTGTTGTGAACTTGTACCAGTCGATGGCAAAGCTTGGAGGTAAGATGCTGTCTACCTGCCCTTCCTCCCTCCTCCCCTGAGACCCTGGATCTAGGGCTGTCTCCTAATGGAAAGTCCCTATGAACCCCTTTGACCCTTTGTGACCTGACCTCATATCTGTACACCTGATGGGGACCCTTTGAACCCTGTGGCACTTCCTGACTCCTTTGATCCTTATTCACAGATCCTCGGATCCTGGGCTACCCTTTGATGGGGTCCCCCTTGCTAATGACCTCCATTCTCCTGACTTATGTGTACTTCGTTCTCTCACTTGGGCCTCGAATCATGGCCAATCGGAAGCCCTTCCAGCTACGTGGCTTCATGGTTGTCTACAACTTCTCACTGGTGGCACTCTCCCTCTACATCGTCTATGAGGTGGGACCCTGGGGTGCCTAGGCGTTAATTCCTGGCTGGATGGGGGCAGGCCTTAGAGCCAGAGCATGCATCCCCTTTCCAGAGAGGCTCAGGTCTACTTCTTCAACAGAAAATGGGAGGGTATGGGGTGGGGGGGAATTCTGGTGGTTTAATCCACACCCCATCCTAGTTCCTGATGTCTGGCTGGCTGAGTAGCTACACCTGGCGCTGTGATCCCGTGGACTTTTCCAACAACCCAGAGGCACTGAGGGTAAGTAGGAGCGGGGGCCAAGTCATAGCAACCTGAGATTTGGAGCGATTTGGGTGTGACCTCTGCTCATGGGCCAGTTTGGGGAGGCTCTAGGAGCAGTGTGGGGGTCCTAAGGCTGCCCTGACTTCTTGCAGATGGTTCGAGTGGCCTGGCTCTTCCTCTTCTCCAAGTTCATTGAGCTGATGGACACGGTGAGAATATATGAAACGTGAGAACTTGGGGTCGGGGAGAAAGGAGAGGCCCTGGCTCTGAAACTCCTTTCCCCACTCTTCTCTCAGGTGATCTTTATTCTCCGGAAAAAAGATGGACAGGTGACCTTCCTCCATGTTTTCCACCACTCAGTGCTTCCCTGGAGCTGGTGGTGGGGAGTAAGAATTGCCCCAGGTGAGTGGCAAAGGCCACTGGGGAAAGGGGCAGGCGTTGGAGATCAGAGGCTCAACTCTCCTGATCCTGTTCATTGTTCACTCACAGGAGGAATGGGCTCTTTCCACGCTATGATCAACTCCTCTGTGCATGTCATCATGTACCTGTACTATGGGTTGTCTGCCCTTGGTCCTGTGGCTCAGCCCTACCTTTGGTGGAAAAAGCATATGACAGCCATCCAGCTGGTAAGGGGCCTGGACCTGCCCTATAACCATCCCAACATTCCTAGTCTTTATCCAACCTCTCACCTTTGACGCTATCCCTCCAGTCTCAGTATTCCCTCTGACGCTTGCCTCTCTCTCCTAGATCCAGTTTGTCCTGGTCTCGCTGCACATCTCCCAGTACTACTTCATGCCCAACTGTAACTACCAGTACCCAGTCATCATCCACCTCATCTGGATGTACGGCACCATCTTCTTCGTGCTCTTCTCCAATTTTTGGTATCATTCTTACACCAAAGGCAAACGGCTGCCCCGTGCAGTTCAGCAAAATGGAGCTCCAGGTACTGCCAAAGTCAAGGCCAACTGAGAAACATGCTCTTGCTAGGCGCCCACCTAAGTGCCTCAGGACTGCACCTTGGGCAGCATCCATCATTGTCCTCTCCAACTACACCTGTGACCAAGGCTTATGTGGTCAGGACTGAGCAGGGGACGAGCCTTCCCCTCCCCACAGCTGGTACACAGGGACCACAGCTTCCGTTCCTCACCCACTTCTCCTGCCAGCCCCAGGGACGTGGCCTCATTGCCCTCTGCCACTCCGGAGCTGGAGGCTGAAAGGGCTGGACGCTAACTTCCCCCTCCCTGCCTTAAACTTGGGAGAGGAGCACTCAGGGCTGGCCCCCACCAGGGTCTTGTGGCCTTTTTCCTCACACTGAAGAGGTCAGCAATAATCTGTCACTGTGGACCCAGGCTCCCTCCTTTCCATCCCACAGGTCAGAGTGGGTGGGAGGCCTGGGAATACAGCCTGTGGAGTCTGCTCTCTCACATGTCTTCATTAAAAGTGACAGAGGAAACCACTGAGGCTGTGTGTGTACATGTATGTAAATGGAGGAGGTAGGGTGCAAAGCCTGCTAGCCCTGCCTCCGACCGGGAGGGGCGGTCAAGGCTCCCACAGGATGCCGTTTCTACCTCTCAAACAGAGGAGAGGAGCCCCTTGGGAAAGCCACTAGGACAGAGGCCATGCAAGGAGGAAAGAGGGAGACATGACTTTATTAGAAAAATAAAAATAAAAAAAAATGAAATGATGAGTTGGTCCTCAACGGATGCTTTGGTGGATGAGGCTGCTTTTGGCTGCACTAGCCTTCTCCCGCTCCCGCCGCCGCGCAGGGTCCAGCTCAAAGCAGCGCCATATCCGTAGGGTCTCATCTGCTGCCGCTGATGCCACCGTGGCCCCATCTGGACTCATGGCCAGACTCAGGACCCGGGCTGTGTGACCTGGGGCACGAGGAGGGAAAAGTGAGAGCAGCACATGAATGTAGACATATACTACAGCTCTTCAATTACGAGGGCAACCTACCTTTTCTGGGTTTTGTTTTTTATAATAGCTTTATTGAAATGATCATTTACATACAAAAAAATATATTTTAAATTATACAATTGATTTTTAGTATAGTTAGAGTTGTGTAATCATCACAACTATAATTCCAGAACATTTCATCACTCCATAATGAAAGTCACTCACTACCCTCTTCCTCCAGCTCCTGGCAACCATTAATCTGTTTTCTCTCTCTGTATTTGCCTCTTCTGGTTATTTCATATAGTCATACAATATGTAGTTTGTGTCTAGCTTCTATCATTTAGCACCTACCTTTGAGCTCAGCCACCTTGGCCATAGTTGGGTATTTCCAAATAACCAGCTGGTTCTGGGCAAAACCATGGCCTGAGATGAGTTCCTTGTAGTGGGAAGACCAGAGGATGGAGCACACCTGTGGACAGGGGACGGTGTAGGCACAGCATAGAGCCAGCACTCCTCAAATCAGAACTAAGTCCATTCTAGTGGTAGGCACTCTGCCTGCCAGGTGCTACGGACTCAGACTTGAGTGACCATAGTCCTAACGAAAGCCTTTTGAAAGTTATAATTGTTATCCATTTTACAGATGAGGAATCAAGCAGAAGGAATTCAGCAAGCTGCTGAACTTGCGAAAGCCCCTGGGACAGAAGTCATGCAGGTTTAGTTAGTGGTGACAGAGCCAGAATTTGAATTCTGGCTCAAAAGCCCAAATCTAGAATGAAGGTTAGGGGGGAGGGTGGTGAATGGAAGGAGAAATAGTGGGATAGTTGCAGGGAGACGCCAGCAAGGGCCTCAGATTCTAATGGGTTTGGATTATGTGCTGCAGGTGATGGGGAGTCACTGCAGAGTAAGGAGGACAGTAACATACCACCCAGACCACAGTCTGGAGGACAGACTGGAGGAGCTAAGAATGCCGAGACCAGTGCACTGGGCCTCTGCTGGGAAGAAGGATGAGACAGGAGAGGGAACACATGTGAATGATATTTTGAGGTAAAACTGATAAATTTTGGTGACTAGGTAAACAAGATGAAAGATTTTAGCAAGTTTTTCAGATTTCTGAGTAGGTTCTGTCCTCTCAAAGAATATAAGAGGAGGAGAAGGAACACATTTTTGGGAGGCAAAGGGAAGTAACAAGTTTAATTTGGGACCTCCCGGACTCTGACCCTCACCTTCCTGGCCCTGTACAGCCAGGACACATGACTGATGCGATCGGCCCCACCTACAGGACATGGGGTAGGAGATAGGCCACAGTGTTGGAAATATGGGTCTGGAGCTCCTAAGTAAGGGTTGACTTAGAAGTTTGGAAACCATCAGGATACAGACTTGGTGCAGCCATTGAAGGAGACATGGTTACCCAGGAAGAAATAAAGAGTAAGAACATATCAGGGAGTGAGAAGCTAGAACACGTAAAAGACTACCTGGGAGTGGGCATCCACAGCATTCAGACAAGCTCCAGAGCAGACGTTCCAGATGCGAATGTGTCGATCACTGGTGCCCCCACCAGTTGCCAGGATATTGGACTGCCAGGGACACCAAGCTACAGCCTAAATGGGATCAAAGTGGGGTAAGCAAGTACTACACAGGAGCTATAGAGGGTCCGAGACTAACCTAGTCCAATCTAGCATCCCATCTCCTCATAATAATCCCCAGATTCTGGGTGAGGGTCTGCAGAGGCCCCAGCCCAACCCCACTCTCACCTTGACAGCGCCTTGATGCTGGGTGAATGTCTGCAGGGGAGCCCAGCCCCCCTCTCCAGGAGCACTAGGCCACACATTGACCAAGTTGTCATTGCCACCACTGGCCAAATGTCGTCCATCTGGGGCCCAGCGCAGCCCACACACTTCCTGGCTATGACCACTCAGTGTGGCCACATGGTGTTCTGCTACCCGAACATCATGGTGGTGGATGTGGCCAGAGCGTGAGCCACTGCAAGAAGGAAGAAAGGAATCAGGTTCTGTGGCAGCGCCAAATGCCACCAGTAGGCAAAAGCTGCTTCACTTCAGAGATGTACAGTCTGGGGAGGGAGGGCAAAAATCCCAGCCTGACTTTGCAATAGACTAGCAAGAAAAGCACTGACCTGGACAGGATATAGCTATTCCAACATAGGGAGCTCACTCGGGCAGAATGACTGGTCATATTCCGAAGCCGCTTCTGTTGTTGCACATCCCATAGCTAGAGAGAGGACCACTACAATCAGAGACTGGGCCTTGGCATAACATCCTCCAGCTGGGGAACAATAGAGCTGCAACACAGGGACAACCCTCACCTGAACCTCAGCACTGCTGGTGCCCACAGCCAGGTAGTTGCCCTCTTTGATCCAGGATACAGAAGATACATAGTCCCCAGGCTGCTCCATCTGCAGCAGCTGCAGGATGTCGCCAGTGCTGGCACTCCATAAGTACACACTGTTGTCCAACGCCACGGCCAGTACATTCGCTGAGCTCCAATCCACTAGGTTCAGGTCTGCCAGAGGGGCAAAGGGAAGAACATAAGCTTCCTTGTTTGCCTGGTCCCAAGGCCCTCTTTTTCCATCCACCCAGTAAGGAACAGGCTGCACTTACAATAGTCATTACGAATTTCAGGGGCATCCAGGATCCGGTCTGGCAGGGAGGGAATGTAACGGCAGGTCTTCCTGCTGGAGCCAGGTGTAGCCTTCTGGCTATAGAGTACTTTCAGTCTGTTCTGGTAACCTGCGGCAACAGAGTGAGTCCAGACACTGGGAGAACTGAAGCCTCCCCCTGGCCCTAGCCTGGAAGGCCAGATGAGCACTCTCCTCCACTCAGTCTTAAGTGGGAAGAGCAGACAGACATCTCCCCTCAGCCCTGGGAATGGGCTGACACCTCCCTCCAAAAGCCATGAACTTCAGGTCTTACCCTCTGGAACTTTTTGTGGTTTTCCACTGAGGCGAAGGATCTTGGCTTCCTCCACATCAAAACCGTTCAGGTTCAAAGCCCAGGCTTTCTGATGTTCCTGGCAAGTAGGGGTGGTGGTGAGGCAGGATGGCATTGTGCAAAGGGACTTTAGCTGGTCCCTTGCCTTAAGTCCCTCTGGGACACATACCTTTTTGGTGGGTGTCTGGCTGTTTTCGGGGTGGTTCTCCTTGCTCAGCAGGAAGCTGGCCACCTCCATCTGGGAAGTACTGCGATGGGGGATATAGCGGTCACCGCCAGGTTTGCTGGGAGTGGTCTGAACCTTGGAGCTGGATTTGCCTGTGGCGGAGAGAGAGAAGCCAAACAGTCTGACCGGGTTCCCAAGGGAAGGGGCACATAGGCTGCCGTTAGCAGTTCCTTTTCCCTCCCCCAGTCCCGCCGCATCCCCCTGACCCGGAGTTCGGCCCGGGGTCCTGCCGGCGCTGTGGGATCGATTGGCGGCCCGCATGGGTGAGGGGGCCGGCCCCGAGGTCTCCCTAGCTTTGCGTTGCCAGCGCGCGGGGGGTGCATTGGGGATGGGTGTGTCCAGCTGCAGCAGCGAATGCAGGTCACTGTCGAACACGAAGTGCGCCATGGGAGCGCAGTGTCTGCAGGGCAAAGGGTCCTTGGAGTGGGTGTCCGCCGAGCCCTGGAAGAAGAGAGGCGTCCGTGCTCGGGAAAGGCCGGCCACACAGCCAGAGCCAGCCTGGCCACGGCCTCACCTCGCTGGGCCCAGCCGCTTTCCACCGTCAGCTCGGAGCTGGTAGCGATCCCACACTGACCTTAGAAGTCAGGTCTAAGCTTAAACTCTCCGCTCCGAGCACTCATTGGCTTCTTCAAAACCCAACCGTCGCAACCGTCGCCGTCTCCCATTGGTCTCTACGGCACTGGGGGCGGGTCTTCCGGGACAAGTCACAGATATCACGAGAGTCCAGGCGTGGAGCGTGATTTGAAGGGTAAGAGGCCTAAGGCGGGTCCCTGAGAACTAGTGTCCGGAAGAGAGAGGGGAGGGGCTTGCACCTGGGGGCGGGGCTTACGCTGCATCAGCCTTTTCGGTTAGCTTCCATTCATTCCTCAAGGTTCACCTCACCCGCCCTTAGCATTTATCGATGGTTTTTTTTTAGAACGAGAGGAAGGGAGAGCGAGAGAGATAGAAACATCCATGAAAGAGAACAGAAATTGGCCACCTCCTGCAAGCCCCCCACTGGGGATTGGGCCCACACCTGGCGATGTGCCATGACCGGGAATCAAACCTGCGACCTCTTGGTGCATGTGTCATGCTCAAACACTGAGCCACACTGGCCCGGCCGCCCATTGCATTTAAATTCTGCATGTGGCCCGGCCAGCTGGTGTGGCTCAGTGATTGAGCGTGGACCCATGCACCAAGAGATTGCCAATTCGATTTTCGGTCAGGGCACATGCCCAGGTTATGGGCCCCATCCCCAGTGGGGAGCATGCAGGAGGCAGCCAATCGATGTTTTCTCTCATTGATGTTTCTATCTCTCGCTCCCTCTCCCTTCCTCTCTCTCTAAAATCAGTAAAGAAAGAAAAAAGAATCCTACATGTGGATTGTATTTATGATACCCAAGTGCAGAAA